ACAAAAAATCAAATTTTAATATCACACATGAGATTAAATATTATTTTACTTTTGTAGAAAATATATTTAATAAATTTATACTTTTAAAATATACTTATTTAAATAAATAAATATATATATATATATATATATATATATATATTGAGATATTATCCTCATCTATTTCATTGTTTGTGTATTCACTCCAAAATACATGGAGATTGTTTGACTATAAACAATTGTTCAAATAATCATTCAACAAACATGAATGTAATTCTGACATGACATGTATTACAATTAAATGAATCTAAAATCATATCAATCAATCATGAAAAAATTTGCTATAGTTTAGATGAATGTAGTTGAATTACACTTGAACTTGCATCAAAGTAATTTGTGCAAGTTCATGTTATCTATTAAACAATAAGAGATTAGTTCAAAGATATTTACACATTATAACCAAATAGTTTGCAATTTGTATACTATAATAATTTATTTTTTTTGTACGATATATGCTTAAGTCAACATTGCAAAGATAAACTGAAAATATATATGTCTGAAAATTGTTTGGTCTTCTGAATTCAATTTTGAAAAAATGAACATTTATCTAATATTTAATATTATTTACTCATAAATACATATAAAATATGTATAACGAATAAACAATATAAATTTGTGAACAACTTTATATAATTATAAGTTAAGACAATTTGTATTTAAAATTGTTCATTACAATTAGAATTATGTTATTCAATACAAATTTAAAACTTATTTCATAAAATAATTTGTTATTTTATTAGAGAGAACAAAATTCACTAATAATTTTTTAGTATCAAAAGCATATAAGATAACAAAACTCACTATGGATGTTTTTAAAAAACAATATATTATAAACTATCACTTTTGCATCAATCTCTATATATATAAACCACCACAGGTTTTGTATTTTCTACATGATGAGTTGTGAATAATTTAATATAGTAAAACCTACCTAAAGCAATAATGCTTTAACTAATAACCTCTTTAAACTGCTAAATATTTTTGATCCCAACCACGTCTCCATACTGTGATGATAAACCTTTGTAGTCTGCTATTTAATAAACTTGTTCAAGTTACACAACTTTTGTAAATTGATATACCTTACATATAAATTGATGTGCGATTTAAACTCGCTCAAAGTAGCTCTGAATACACTTATGTAACATCTGGTAAGTTTTGATACAACTTACATTTAGATGAGGGACAAGATTAAAGCTACAAAACAATATGCGGACCTTATCCGTCATTTTTGTGTGCTAAACATCACGTTCCGATATCTTCTGGATGTGTTGTGAGATTGATGAGATGTGTTTGTTGTAGTGCGGATGTCTGTGTATTTGATTATGGTTTGTGTTTCTAGTGTGTGCTGCAGTTGATGTGGTTGGTTGTAGGATCCAAGTGTTGTGTGTGATTGTTGTTCGGTTTGTTTAGTTCATTTTCACTACTCCTCACGAATCAATCTCATGACGTCAGCTGTAGTAGCCAACACATATGACTGTTGCACAGTTGCTGTAGACTTGACTTAACTGATAAAATCTACTAACTCATAAAAAATCTTCGATCCCAACGATATAAATTAACACATTTTATACTTCAATACAATATTGATTACTATCATACATAAAATCACAAATTTCTTTAACATCTTAGTAATTTAATACGACATAAATTACAATTGGATGATATGATGTGATTATTTTATTATTATTTTTGGATTGAATAGAATCATGTCCATCAATTTATAGATACATAATTTATGATATATTAACATATTTAAATTGCTATTGAGTCATTGATTGTTATCATTATATCTTATCGATTGCATTGTAATTTTGCAATATATAATTACATCAATCTCATTTTGATAAGTACTAAGTTCATATTTCAACATTATGTTGCTTTATTTTTTAATCATTGAGTCAAATAAAAATATGAATAATGTTTGAAGTTTTTTTCCTTTTTATCACTTTTGCTAATACACAGACAAATTTGATGTTGAAATTGATATGGAAACAGCAACATGAATTTCCAATTTGAAACTTTTGAGTTTTAAGTTTGCATGATCGCATTATGTTGCTTTATTTTTAATCATTAAGGCAATTAAAAATATGAATAATTGTAGGATTTGTTTACACATCATGTTGTTCTGTTTTTAATCATATAATAAATAAAAAATGTGAAAAACGTTAGGATATTTTACACATAATGTTGTTCCTTTTTCATCATTAAATTAATAAAAAAACATGAATAACATTAGAATTTTTGTTCACATTGAAGTTAGATGTGAAATTATGTTGTTTATGTTTATTTATGTTAAAAAATTAAAGCTTATTTATAGTTTATTACTTCTGCTAAAACACAACCAAACTAGATTTTGGATTAAATATAGAAATGACAACATGAATTTCCATTCAAAATAATAAGCATGTATCAAACTTTACTAGTTTTATCTTAATTTGATTATATATACTGAAGATCATAGTTCTCAAAATTTTGTCTAAACTATGAGCAAGATATTTTTGAAATTGTTGTTATCAAGAATGATATCACGATTATATGACTTGAATATATATATATGTTTTTTTATGTTAAGGTTTTTTTTGTTTAGCATATGATACACATTGTAAATGATGGCATTGATAGTAGATTTGTTTTTGATTTTTCATTTACAAATTGTACCTTGTAGGATGATCGATGAATAAATTAGAATATAGAACATGAAATTGTATGAACAACACTGCTTATGCACATCTAAAACATATATATGCTATTCTATGAATAAAAGTAGGATTTGAATATTTTGATTTAAATATTGCATGCAATTATATCAATTTACTAGAGAACCTTTATGAGACATTTTAAAACCTGATTATAGTCTTTTATCGACAACCGAGTGTTTTCACATATTGACATTCTTGGAAGCATCGTCACGGCCATACTTGTTAACATCATGGACTACTAATTTATATGTGTGTTATGTAAAATGTAACATAAATTAATAATTGTTGTCTGGATTTCTGAAGAATATGTAAATTCATAACAATTGGAAGAAAAAAACAACAGTTTTTTTTCAAGCTGAGCACTCTCAATATTTATTGGATTTGAGATAATTTTATTTTCAAGCACTACATTATTTGTGAGAGGGACACATGACACAAGTTTTTCCAACTTATACTCTTACTTGTAAGAGTAATTTGATCAGTTCTTAGTATATTGCTGTAGCGTCAAAATCAGCATAAGGTTGGAACAAGTGTATGTAGTGCAAAGTTGTTGACAGCAAGTAATTATATTCCTAACTAATGCTTGAAAGAGAGGGTCGGAGCACATTACTCTGATTTATTATTCGCTTTTAATGATATAACGGAACTTTGAACAAAAGTACGCCTTGTCAAAAGGTCCACAGAGTAATAATTTGTCATAAGTTGTAAATTTCCTGGTTATAGCGATGTCTGAATCTGATTGCAGAAGCATTTATGAGAATGTAAACTGAGAAATTACTCTTCTGACATCATCCACTAAAAGTCAAGTTTGAACCTGACACAGTAGGTTCGTTCAAGAGCAGTATTTGGTGAATAAATGGAATCGTCTTGAAAAAATTCTGATTTGTTTATTGTCTCTGGGAAGACATTCTTGGTCAGTTAAGCTAAGAGCCGGGGAAAATCGACCTCATAACAATATTCCTCCTAAATACTCGAACTTGATTTAAATACAAAGGAATCACTTTAAGCATGACGCTTAAACTTTTGAACTACAAACCATTTTGTATTTTTCAAAAAGCATAAAAGGGCGATATATTTTGTCTACAAGAAAAGTTTTGATGCATATTTCTGATTATAAAGAGAAAGACGAAAGACTCGGCATAGACTCGGTACTATTTACACAATAAATTTTATCACATATCTACAGTATATAGTCAACTTAAACAAATAAAGGACCAAACGTTCCGACATGCCAAGTATGTTGTTTATCCTCCTGCAACCCGTTAGTTGAAAAACAATTTCGTATTTTTTTTTACGGGCAGACTTATGACGAAATGAAACCAGATGATTACAAAAAACTTCACTTTTTAGCGATATTATGGATTCCCGGTCTAACTCCAATCGGATCTTTATTCGAAGGGCACTAGAAGCCACAAGAAGAGCGAACCAAATATCTGGAATGAACCAAATTCCACATTACGTGAGCTGATGTGCAAGAGATCGATGAGAACATGACGCATTCCAAACTGACCTTCCACATTTCAGTCATATCCTAACTAAACCTCGATGAGGAATATTCGCATCCAGTCGAAGTTGACAATCTGGAACTTTACGCGTTCTTAGACACCGCCGATGAATAATTAATAAATTTACAATGTGCGCAGCGCAGCGGACTCCGAAGAAATGGAGTTAGCGGGACTCCCCCCTCCGCTTTCTTATAACCTAACGGGGAGTATTCTTCTATTGAATTGATACGCGAAGGAATAATATCTGTAACAAATTAACAATGTGCGCAGCGCAACGGCCTCCAAAGAAATGGAATTAGCGGGACTCCTCCATCGGCTTTCTTATAGCCAAACGGGGAATATTCTTCGATTAAATTGGTAGGCATATGAATAATTATTAAATTAACAATGTGCTCGGCAGACTCAGAAGAAATGGAGTCAGCGGGACTCCTCCATCGGCTTCTTATAGCCAAACGGGGAATATTGTTCGATTAAAGTGATAGGCATATGAATAATTATTAAATTAACAATGTGCTCGGCAGACTCAGAAGAAATGGAGTCAGCGGGACTCCTCCATTCGCCTTCTGATAGCCTACCGGGGGAATATTCCGCGATTAGATTGACACGCGAATGAATAAACCCCGTCACCCTCATCTAACTCCCGTCGCGGGCGGACGACAAGAGCCACGACACGAGGAGGGGCGACCGGCGCCACCCAGCGGCCCGGTCGCCCCTCCTCGATGTGTTGCCTGGCTCCCGGTGGAAACATCGACACGCCTTCGATCCCTCGCATCGAAGATCGTCGCTCGGAGATGGCGGGGCTCGCGCGCTCGGGCTCGGATGCGCGACTGTGACGAGAATTTCCCCATCTTCCGATCGGGTGGAGGTTGCTGAGGCAGGAGGTCGATCGGTCGATCGGTGCAGTGGCAGCGCGGTCTGAAATTTGGCCTCCAATCGTTCGCTCTTTTCTTCTTCTTCTTCATCATCTTTCGCATTTCCACGAAATTTTCATTTTCGTTTCATTGGTTGCGTTGGCAGTAGTTGAGAATTCAGTCTGTCCGTGTGTCGGCCGATCGGGGGTGGCATTTATGGGGGCCCGTCGCTGGTCAGAGTTGATGAGGATTTCGTTTCTTTGAGGGAGGGCATGGAGCTTTTGTAGCTTCTTTAGCTTTAGCTGTTGCAGCGAGCGAGAGATTGCGCGGCCTCGGACATTGAGCGCGGCGGCGTAGACTGAGGGAGGGAGAGAGAGAGAGAGAGAAAGAGAGAGCTTGTGAATTACAGAGTCCGCGAGCGTCCAGGGTCTTGATCCTGCTTGCCTCGAAAAGGCGGCAAGATGTTGGAGCAGATCAAGACGCTGACCGACATCGGGGCTATGACCCGGCTCTTGCATGAGAGCATCGCGTATGGGAGGAGCATTGATGACGAGTTGGAGGTTCTGCTGTCTCAGCGGTATGATCTTGAGAAGAAGCTCTTAGGGCTTCAGAAATCGTCCGAGGTTTTAGAGTTAGTGCGCTCTGATTCGGATGTAATGCTGTCAAGCGTGAGATCGACCTGTGCCCTAGCTGATCACGTCAGTGGCAAAGTCAGGGAGTTGGATTTGGCGCAATCTCGTGTTCAGGCTACATTGGCGAGGATTGATGTGATCGTCGATCGCACGAATTGTATAGACGGAGCCAAACAGGCTCTCGAAACAGAAGACTACGAATCTGCAGCCAAGTACGTGGAGCGCTTCCTGGAGCTGGACGCCCAGTACACCGTCTCCAATTCAGACGAAGCGAATGGCGAAGGTAGAGACACAGTCTCGGAGCCGAGGAGGCAGCTGCTGGAGTCGAAACAGAAGTTAGAGGAAGTGATCAGGAAGAAGCTGGCTTTGGCAGTAGAGGCTCGGGATCATACGAGCGTCGTGAGATTTGTCAAACTCTTCCCTTCACTGGAGCTTCAGGAGGAAGGATTGCGGCTGTATGTGGATTATCTGCGAAAAGTCATTGCCCTAAGAGCGAGAAATGAGTACGAGGGTATTGTGGAGATTCTGGAGCAAGCAGAAGGAAACACCGGTGATTTCGTGGGAGGGCTTAATAATCTGTTCAACTACATTGCGACATCGATCGAAGACAATGAAGACCTTCTACGCACCTTCTCTGGCGAAGATGGCATCGTCTTCGCTATCCAGGAGCTCCAGCAAGAATGCAACCTCAGGGGACCTGTTATTCTGAAGAAATACAGCGAACATCGAAAGTTTTCGAAGCTGAGCAAAGAAATTGCCAATCAGAGCAAGAATATTATGTCGGTGGGTGGCTATGAAGGACCTGACCCTAGAGATATCGCCGTGTATTTGGAGGAATTGCAGGTTTTGATACAGACGAGCGAGGACTACATTCACTACATGATTCAGAAGATGAGAGAGGCTGGCTCTGCTGGCGCTCAACTGAGCCCAAGGGCTGCCAATGGTTTCAAATCTGGAGCATTTGGTCGTTCGGTACAGGAACTGACGGGGTATTATGTCGTTCTAGAGGAGTACTTTATGGAAGAAAACGTTAGAAAGGCGATTAAGATCGATGAGTTTGTGCCGGATGCACAGACTACTTCGATGGTCGACGATTGCTTCTACGTCCTCCAAACATGCTCCAGAAGGGCAGTGTCCACTGCCAACTCGCAAGCAGTGCTTGCCACGTTGAATCACGTTATTGACATACTCAACAATGAATACAAGGAGGCACTTTTAAGAAAGATCAACCTCCCAAACCTCGCAATTAGGCTCTTCAGTGCAGGAGTTGGCTCTGCAAAGACCGGCACAGAGGTAGCAGCCGCCCTCAACAATGTGGACATCAGCGCCGAGTATGTCATCAAGCTCAAACACGAAATCGAAGAACACTGCATGGAGGTGAGTTTAACTATCGAAGTGAGACAGGACTGCAACAACACACTTCATATTGTGCTGTGTTACTGAAAACAGTTGGTTGAAAACTACTGAACTTCGAACCTGCCCATGGATATTTGAGGCCCCTGTGATAGACATTCATCGTTATTGTTGTGGTTGTTTGCAGACATTCGCTGGGCCTGGCGAAAGAGAGAAGATAAAATCATGTCTCTCGGAACTGTCAGAAACAAGCACGGCTCTCAGACAATTGGGCAATGGAGGCCTGGAGCAGCTCGCCAATGCCATAATACCACGACTCCGGGGCATTCTGGACGTCGTTGGACCTGTTAGTTATGAATTGACCGAGGCCCAATATGCAGAGAACGAGGTGAACGACCCCTGGGTTCAGAAGTTGCTGCATCTGGTGGACGGGAATGTCGCATGGCTGCAACCATTGCTCACGAGCAACAATTATGACTCTCTAGTTCACCTGATTATCGACTTTCTGGTCAAACGCTTGGAAGCAATTATGGTCCAGAAACGCTTCAACCAGTTGGGCGGCCTACAGCTCGACCGGGATGCCAGAACTCTTGTGGGTCACTTCTCAGGAATGACTCAGCGAACTGTACGTGACAAATTCGCCCGGCTCACGCAGATGGCAACCATCCTCAACTTAGAGAAGGTGTCTGAAATTCTTGACTACTGGGGTGAGAATTCGGGTCCCATGACTTGGCGCCTCACCACCACCGAAGTCCGCCGCACATTGAGTCTTCGAGTAGACTTCAAGCCAGAGTCCATAGCTGCTTTGAAGTTATAGTTTTGACCGCAACTGGCCTGTCTGCCTCGAGACACATGTTTCAAGAGCTTCGTTGGTCATAACTGACATCTACATACCTGCTGATGAAAGAAGACGAGGTCAGCTTGTGCAGGCCGAGTGTCCCCAAGTCAGATATCGTTGTGGAAACGTGCGTACACAGCTAGAGGATAGAAACTTGTTCACTTCTCGTCTCGAAAAATTGCTGATCAAGAGAGGTGAAGAACTATGTAAATACATTTTTTAAAGCAAATTCCAAGGCATGAAACCGCAATCAAACGTACGGTCTAGCGTTGCCGACGACGACGATAGATGTGGAGGTCATGAATTATCCAGGAAATAAATACAGAGTATCAACTGTCATCCTCGGTCGCTGGCTTAATAGGGCGACACGGTGCTGATCAAATTGACAGCCTCTGCTCAAGAATTAGTTCCAGTGGTCGTGGTGCTTGGCAATCATCTACATCACAACCAGAATGATCGTTGCGAATGGGTATGACAAATTGTAATTGCAGGCAAACTCTCTGTCAGCTGGACGGTGTTCTAATCCTCTGTCCATTTTTCACCCGGGGTGTATTCGATAATATTGCTTACGGCTTTGATTTGACTACCTGCAATGTAACCGAAACGATGGATGCTGGGGTTCCGCTGGTGGAGGATGGCTCAGAGTACCTTTTCTACCCTGACTGTGACGCATGAAAGTTAAGGTTCAAAATGATGATAATCTTCCGTGAAAAACAGTACCTTCATGTACGTCTGACAGTATTGTATTGTGTCAACAATACGAGTAGGATGTATCTTTTGTTGCGACTCGCTTAGTTGCACAAACTTTTACAAACGGCCGTACTGCCAGGTGTCAGGGATCCCAGTTTCTTTCTCCTCTTTCTTTCTTTCTTCATACTTCCTTCGGGCTGCCCCGGATCAGCCGGATTTTATCTTAGTTTTGGGAACGGGGAGGCGGAGCGCTTTGCGGAGAGGGTCGGCGGACCCTACATTCCGGCAACCATGTAGAGGCCATCAACCGGATAAAATTCCAACAACCATGTAGAAGAGAGGTCGTCACTGTAGAGGCCGCAACGTTGTATCTAGTGCGTTGCAATGATCTGCGCCGTAAAAATGATCGCAGTCGTGTCGTGGAACGTTGCGGGAACTAAAACTAAACTGCAAGAGGTATGGCTCAGATGGAATCCCTAATTTTCAAACTGTAATATTTGTAATCAAACGGTGATAACAAATTGAGGCGACGAAATTTTAAGCGGCAAAGATTAGGGTTTTTGAAAATAGAATCACATCAATATTCTCCAGCTTGTCGTTTCGACGTCGCTCTTGGGTGCCAGTGTCAGTGCTTTGAGGAGCTCGTGCCAGAGCTCGTGCTTGTACTTTTCTTGTCATTTCAGGTGCTTTTGCAGGTGTGGTGACAGCATGGCGGCAGATGGATTGTGCAGGACCCACCTTATGATGGCCCTTTCAATTCGTTAATGTTGAATTGGTCAAATGGGACGGCCTACATCAAAAGCTCGAGGCTTAACGATTTTGTTTCGGGAGAGGGATCTTGTCATAGTGATGCGAAGACAGAATTTGTGACACGTTGCTCATACAAGGGTGGAGGTACTAGGCACAATTGGGAATCGTATGCAATGTATTATTGCAAGTATGGTACTCCAGAAAGGGGCAAGAAGAGTATGCTTTCCTCGAATTTTATTCAAGATCCATCAACAAAGGCAAAATTTGGTCCTGGCAGCAGGAATAGACTAGATCATGATTCGCATCACAAGGGCTGTCAGTGCAGGTTTAGTGCCATTAAACTGTTGTCTAATGATCACATTCCACCAGGAATCACAAAATTGATATACAAGCATAGAAGACACGTAAATGCTGTAGGTGTAGCTTGTCATGGCCCAGCGTGTTTGGATAGTGTTGGCTTGCCATCTCAAATGGCGCGCAATTTATCCTCTGAATGCAGGTAACGTCATATTTGTTACATTTTCAATGTATTTGTTTATCGTTCACAGTCAATCTCCCGTCATATTTGTAATATCTACAATAAGTTTGTTGTTATTACAGTTTGTAATAACAACAAACTGCTTTGACACCAAGCAAGCACGTTGTCTAATATTTTCTATGTTCTTATGCCAGGGAGTGGGTTGAATGCGAGTTAAGAAGAGGTTTAACTCCTCCACAAATTCTCATGCGTGCTGCAAAAGCACTGTTCTAAAATCATCAGCGCTTAGGCTATGTGCAAGGGACCCCTATTAAAGATCATTATATCACATCTGCCGATGTGTATAATATCAAATTGGAACTGGACAAAGAAACTTGGAGAAGGCATGCTAATGATAGAATTAGCACAGAATTATGGATGAAAGCGAATTCATCTCAAGTTGTTTTGTATCAGGCACCAAAAAGTGATACATTTAAACCATTGAGGCTTGCTGTTACAAGACCCTTGCTCCTAGATTGGTTGCTAAAACATGGAAATGGAGGTTGTGTTGCTATAGATGGAACGCATGGCACGCAGAAGTATAAGGTAATATTCTACTTGTCCATTTTGATGTTTTTATCATCAGGGTCCCATGATTATGTATATTCTACCTTACTATTTGCAATCTCTGCAAGATATTTGAAAAAAAGACGGTTTGGAGCTTTAACCAGTCCTGTAAGACATTATTGAACGTCTCAATGTGTGCTGTATATGTTGTTTTATATACCTTGATCACGTCTAAATTATCAAGACATAAAAATAGCGAATCATTCATTTGTATCAGGTTTAGCTTAGTATCAATGAAGATGAATACTTTGTAGACGATTGCTAGCAGCAAACTGATACGTTTATTTCATTTTTTGCAATGCAGTATCCACTGTACACCCTAATGGTGTTTGACGAATATGAACACGAACATCCTACTGTTTTTGGATTCCTCGAAAGAGAAGAAACAGAAGATCTCGTGGATTTATAATCTGCAGCGAAGAAGATGGCCCAGCATTATATCCTATGATATTAGTGTGCCTATGAGTTTGATGAAACTTATTAAACTGATGTGGAATGGCAGAGCAAGATAGTGAAAACTAGTAGTTTGATGATCTTTGATTTATTGATGAAAAAAAATACTTACCTGTAATGTGTTTTATTCTACTAAGAAATGTCACTGCTTGTTGAATTTTTAAATTATTCAGTAAATATCAACATTTATATATAAAAAAAAGTGTATTTTGGTCACTCTTTCACTCAATAGTGTATTAACAACTGTGCTCATTTTGGTCCTTTATAATATGACAAGTCGACGAAAATGGCCAACTTTATCTGCTAGACTAGAAAGCTATTGATTCGAGTGGAATGGAACACGCGAGGCGGTTCATCTGTAACAAATAAATTCAGAAAACTAGACAGACCTAGGAAGCACAGGAACAAGAGAAAAAGCATTGCAGTTGTAATATGTGCCACACTGCGAAAGTGTGCAAAAGTAGTGGGAGCATTGGTTGCATAGTGTAGGATAGAGTTATAGAGTTATAGGCCAACTTTCCTGTATCGAGAGATGTGAAGTCTTCCTTGCCTACGTTCTCTGAGCTCTTCTCTGATGTACAACTTTAGAGTCCTCCGAAGAAGTCTTTGAGCTCGTCTGTACAGATATGAGACCAAACACTATAAAACTAAACTGCTTATATATATTTATATTTACACAGACGAAGGATTCAGAAGTACAGCGGAAAACTTGGATTCACGTAAGGTCGTAAGAGCTTGAGCCTCACGGAAAACCAAATCTCGTATTCCCACTAAAGCAGATCGAGGTCTGCTTTGATTGCAAGATCAACCAGGTCCGTGGGTCAGTGGAGTTCTCCACTGACTTCTGAAGCCCAATCCTTTGCTCTTGTACATAGTTTACAGACTGTTGCAGTTGTATAATATGTCACTAATTTGCAATTCGAATGAAATATATGGCCAGATTTCCTGCAATATGCAAATCGCAGTGGAAGTGTCACCACTTGTATCCCACATTTTAGACGCAGTACAGCGTCTACAGAAATAATTTTCCTTCACTTTCCACTGAACGGTTCATACTCGAATGTGCGTATTAATTTGCCGTTCAAGATTTAGATCTTGCTTTTGTTGCTTTAGGATGGCATGCTGCGTATCTCAATCGTGGACCACTGCAGCTGCCGCGCACTTTTCTTAGATCGTCAGAGAGACGGGAGACTTCTCCAAAATCTAACTAGTTGAACATCGAAGTAAATCTTCAATCATCACCATGAAAGAAGCCCAAAGCTACGGTGGTCAATCATGTGTTGACCACCGTAGTGTATATGACACTCACTCATTCATTGTACGAGCGATCAGAGAGCTAACCGGGACACTGGCCCTCCGGAGCAATTCTGTAACGAACATTTACAACTATGAGCTCACCAGGACACTGGCCCTCCGGAGCATCTCTGTAACGAACATCAACATTAACTCCTAGTTGGGATGGGGTGTGCTTATGCTAGAAAGGTTGGTTGCTGCAAGTTCAATAGAGTTTTATGCATATCTTTAGCTGAGCTTCATCATCCTCAAGCTCCATCTTGACGAATTCTTAACATATCTTTTTGCAGAAACACTCACTACTACGCCAACTCTTTTCTGTGTACGGTCAGGTATCTAAAACTGTCAAACAGGTGTGGAGGAGTTCTAAACGTTTTCTTTCTGTTCATATACTTTTGTCCAGACTTCCCATATCATTATTCTAGTTACTTCTAAAATTGATGCTAATTACACCATTTTAGAATTAGAGTAACTTGTGTTTTTGCACATTAAGTAAATGCAGTGGTCTCTCTTTGATGACTGTTTTACTGTCCGTTAGTCAACAGTTGTACATAGAGAATTGTGAAGTAGAGTTTTGATTTCATTCTTATGATATAACGTGCATGCTTGTTGCTCATTTAGGACTTTCTTTCCGCCGGCCACGCTACTGCTTAGACTTAGGATGTTGATTTCCAGCGTACAATATGTTTCTTGATCTATCACGACATTTCTTTGTTTACAGATGAGTTATCATCCTGGGATCATCTATAGGAGTACTTATAAAACTTCATGAATTATGCACAGGTTCTTCACAGTCTTACTGAGGGTAGCACTCCTTCTTAGGAGCTCATCGCCACTGTTAAAAAGTTATACGAGACTAAGCTGCAGGTACGCATTGATCAACTTCCTGTCAAAAGCTGGGACTACAGACAATTCATAGACTAGACATCTCAGTTAGTTTTGCCTGTGTTGCTGTACAGCACAATGGATTCTAATGTGACAGTTTACATTATCTTTTGTAGCAAGGTACATACAATTTGTATCTCTTGTGATTTACTCTATGTTCTTTGACATCAGATAATTGGAAGGCCGCCCTTAGTAGGAACATGTAGATTTTTATACAGTAGTTACGGCACAACACCAAGAGCACAGTTTGGGTGGAACTTCATTCAATATCTTCAAGAATTTGTTGACTGAATACAATGCTTATTCGTATTGGTTTATTGAACCTTGACAGAAGACTCTTGTTGCGAGCGAGCGATCATGGCGGGAGTATTTGGGGGCAAACTGGAAGA